CCTCCCTGCACCCCGCGGAGGGCCGGGCCCGCGCTCGGAGGCGCCGCCGCCGCTCCTTTGGTCCCTGCCGGCTGCCCGTAGCTGGGCGGCGGCAGCGGCGGCGGGGCGGGCCCGGAGCGGCGGCGGCGCTCGTCCCGCGTGGGTGCCCGTGCCCGGTCAGCGCCGGCCCCCGGTTATCGCGTGTCCCGGGGGTCTCACGGCGCCGGGCCGCAGGGGCGAGTGCGGCAGCCGCGGGGCCGGGCGGGGCGGCGGGACCGGCCGTGCCCTGCCCCGAGGGCGGCGGAGCTGACCCTGCCTTCTGTGCCCGGCAGCGCCCGGCCCGCCGGCATGGACGGGGAGCGGCGGGAGCCCGAGGAGGGCGAGGAGCGGGAGCCGGCGGCCATCAGCGACAGGAACGTCCTGGACAGCTTCTCCGAGAGCCGGGAGGTCGCCGAGCTCATCGCGAACCTGCGGGAAGCGTTCGCGGAGCTGGTGAGCCGGGAGATGGCCGTGGAACGCTTCATAGGTGAGCACGGCAGCCGGAGGGAGTGATCCTGCATGACGCCAACATTTCATTATGCGTTGTTGGTTTTATTATTGATGATTACCAAAAAGGGACCAAGCCGCTAGTTTTTGGGTCAGCGATAATGCTGGGACTTTATCAACAGGCAGTTTAGATGTGGTTTCTTGCTCCTGTTTTCCATATAGATAATCTTTTATTACCTGGTATTTAACTGCTGTAAATGAAAACTTAGCTTTAGATTCCAGAAATTGTAATTCTGACTCATGCTGGGCCTTCACTTTCCTGTTCAAATTCAGGCCATAATTTAGTTAAGAGTTTGTATGTCTGTCAAATGAAACAACTCTGTTACATCATAACACACCCATTTGGTGCCTTAAAGTGTCAGTTTCCTATTTACCTTTTCATTTCACGGGAAATGGGAGGAGTGGCTGAATCCATACAGATTGCGTATGTTTTTCCAAGTGGAAGTAACTTGGTGTGACTTTCGTGCCACCTAAGGAAAGCTGTTCTGCCCCTGAGCCTCAGATGAATGTGGAAGGGCCATAGTGAGGTGCATGTAGCAGTGTCCTGGGTGACCAGCCTGTTTCAAGGCACATCTGTGTGTTGGGTCAATATTCTGATGAGGGGATTTGCAGAACTTCATTCAGTGCTTCATGTATTTGCAAACTGAATTTAGCAGACTGGCATTTTGCAAGTATTTTTGTGAAGGATGGCAAAATTGCAAAACACACAGCCGAAATATTGACCCAGCAGCATTGTTTTTGACAAGAAGTAATGAGATGGACAAACAATGAAGCAGAACCCCCCAGATTTGGAGATCTGACCCTGCAGAAGTGTCTCAGTAGCATTATTGTGCTTGGCTGAACTGTTCCATCCAAAGGATGGGCATGTAACTGCTGAGACAGAAATCCCAGGAACTCTCATAGCTGAGGTTGGTCAGCATCACAGAGGTAATGTCAGATTGAGTGGGACAGGAAAAACCATTGCTGGAAAAATCACCCCACTGTGCCTCTCTGTCACATCATATGGAGTGTTTAGTTGCATTTAAATTCTATTTATGAGGCTTTCTGCCTGTGTATCATTGCCCTGTAAAAACAGGCTCAATATACTTAAAGAAGGTGTTATGTGTGGGGTTGAGTATTGGGTTGTAATATTTAGTGTACTCGGGTGTCATTGATCCTTCTTGGACAAAATGTCCCAAATCTGCCAAGAGGTTCAGTGTGTGGGGTAGAACACTGACTTAGGGAATACCTTTTATCTGGGAGCAGGGAATGCAGTCATCATTGTTCCAGGGGATTTTAATGAAAGTTTTCAAAGCTTTCAGAAAAACTCATGGTGCTCATTTTGTGATGAACCATTAGAAGCAGAAGTTTGAGAAACAGTTTGATCTGCAACTACAATTTTGTAGGAAAATATAGGAAGATCTCTTTAGAAATAATAGTTTTAGAGCATCTGGTTTAGGTTCATTCTCCTCAGCTTTTATATTTGGGGTTTTATTTTATATTTGCCAGGCTGTGACCTGGGAAAATAATTTGCTCCTCAATTCCACTTCTGCTGGAAAGCTTGGTGTTGGAATTTGTGGTCACTAGTTCTGCTGTTTGTATGCAGCTTAAGGCATCATTCATTCAGGTGGCAAGTCAGGGGTGATTAGGAGCTCAGGTTTCCCTCTGGGTGATGTCCTGGTGTCCCAGTGGAATTGCACAAGGATGCTGCGGGATGGGCTGGTGCCTGAAAGTGGTTGTGCAGTGTCATCCACTGGTCAACTGCAGCACTGTTGGCTTTGAGTCTTGTCTTCAATGTAGGGGTTGATGTGTCAAGCAGAGGAAAGGGACAGAGAGCAAAGGTGTTTGTGAGAGAAACAAATACAGAAAAGGGGAGGTTAAAGGGGTTTTGGTTTTCTAATTCAAAAGCTGTTTTCTGACCAAATGAGCTGGGCAATCTCCAGTGCCACACTGGATCAGTTAATGATCTTCTTGGGAATCCAGCTTTCACTTCTGTAGATGCATTTTGTTGATTCTGGGCTTAAACTGAAAAGCTTTTGTGTCTGAAAGCTCTGGAAAGTTGTTCTTATTCTTTTTTTCAATACTCAGTTTCAATTTCTCCCTTCTTGAGTCACTATCCAAAAGGAAGAGAGACTGTGCTTCTGGCAGCAAAATAGAGTAAGGGATGTGACAGTTTTGAGGAGCAGATGGTAAGAGCTGCAGTTTGTTGAGGTTAAAATTTGTTAAGGATTCTTTGTTCTTTGCTGAACAATTCCCTATGTTCTTTTTCAAAATAAGAAACTAACTCTGAGGATTGTGAGGAGCACCCTCATTGCAAAGTGTTGCTTGTGGGAGTTTTGTCCCAGGAAATTGGAGAGACTGCTGGCAGTGGGCTGATGGCTCAGTGTGGGTGAATGAGTGCAGTGTGAGGGGTACAGACTGTGCTTGGACTGTTACTTGGACTTAGAAACTGCTCTGTGTTGGAAGGGACCTTAAAGATCATCTCATGCCACCCTCCCTGCCATGAGCAGGGACTCCTTCCACTATCCCAGGTTGCTCCAAGCTCCATCCACTTCATGGTTTTCTAACTTTGTGACCTTGCTTACAGGTGGTGACAGCTCAGGGATGCAGAAATCTTAAGCTAAAACTGTTCAAGATCAGAGGGTATCTCACAGTTAAGGCTCTGGAAGAACCTTGAAGTAGTTTATCACAGATATCTTTTCATTTTCAGGTATAATGGACAAATACCAGGAGCAGCCTCACCTTTTGGATCACCACTTAGGTAGGAATGTCAGCCTTAAAAATTTTTGTGTCTATACTTAAAAATCTGTTACTCTGGAAGATCTGGGTTTTGCATTGCAAGACTGCTGTGTCTTGCATTTACTTGCAGGTACTTCCATTTTAT